AAGCTCATACAGCTCATCGTTCCATCGTCTGCGGTACTCGCCGTCACAAGCACATAAACTTCAGTTGGCATATTTGCTGCTCCCAACGGATTGATGTGCTTAGGAGCGTTGGCGCAAAAATAGCGTTGACTATAGCAGCCACGTTGTTGCACTTCGTTATGTGGTTTATTAATAATTCATTAGACGCTGATGCGTAGCCTCCAAAATCAACGAGGCAAGCGAGGATGTCAATGTCGCGGAAAATATATATACATGTGTATGTACGTACATTATACCGGATCACCTTAAAAGCAGAAAAAAATCACCTTACCCGATTGAGTCTAAAATATTTCTCAAGGAAGACAATTGCGAAAAAAAATTTTTTTTTGGCCGAACCTATATTTGGCCTTTTTATATTTTTCGGCAATAAAAAAATTGTTTTACTAGTAAAATAGCTCTAACTACTGCAGTAATCAAAATACAGCAAAACTTTAATGATCTAAGTAGTAAGTAAGTACTAGATAGAGCGGGTTATTTAATGTCAATGAAGTTTGAGAAAAAAAATTTCTCCCAGAGACAAAATTATCGATATATGTATGTATCATACTTGAAGATCCGACTGGTGCATGTCGAACTTATTTTCTGGTACGGTCTGATGTAGATATATTTATGTTAATACGTGCGCTTACATACTTATAAAATTGTAGGCCAGTATAGACAAATCAACCACCGCTACAGAAGACATACAACACGAAGCTAAATAAGCTCTCACCATAGCACAGTGTGATATTTCAACAATCTGGGGGGACAAAATTATTTGTGTATACTTTTGGGGTATATTTAGGATGCAGATTTTCGATATGCTATCCGTTTTCAGAGACTGGTTATTGGCGAATTATTGCCAATTTTCCAAAACTTTCAGTTGCTGAAATTCGAAAAGCTATATTTTCCCTCCCCATGCAAAACATTTATTTACGAAAATGATTATGAAGGCTATGAACTGGCGGAAATAGGAAAAACAAAAATATGTAATTTTGTCTACGCCTACTGCGGAAAAGTCATTTTTTTTTTAAGAAAAAGTATTGGAGTTTCTTTTGTTCCAACTTTTCATGTTTTTGATTTAGAACTACAAACCACAAATGGTCCTACCTCTTGAATAACGCTATATGTCTATTTAGAATCAATCTTGTTTTCACAACAACAAATATACTTTATGAGATGATGAAATACTCCCTTATCTGAAGTTATTGAGTACAAACTACACCGCTTATCGAAGAAAATTATGAAGTGATTTGTTAATGTTTGGTCACTAATCACGTGGATACCTCAAAAAAATCACGCGGATAAGAATCGAAATGCGTAAAAAGCAAATTAAATTGCACTAAAAATTTTTATTTTTTTTTTTTTTTTTATTGAAAATATTTTAAGTATCTTATAGCTAATATGTCAACCGTTTTTTTTTTCATTTTTTTTCGTAACAGTGGGTTATGTTTGTATCACATATGTACGTATGTAAAAAAAGGAACAGTCCAGCGCCTTCGTCTTGGTCTGCGGGCTGTATCGGAGACACAGCCGCTAAATTTAAACATAGAATACGATGTATAGTTAAGAGCACCTCCGAGTCGAAAACGAAAGTACACACTAAGAGAAAAATATCGATAACAAAAGCGATAATAATATCGATAACAAAATCCACAGCAAAATCGATAACAAAACCGATAAAAATATCGATAACGAAATCGATAAATAATCGATAAAAACGATAACAAAATCGATAAAAATATGGTTTATTATATCGATGAGTTCCGAAAATATCGATAGCAAAATCAATAACATACATACGCTGCGATTTGGTCATAAATGTTACGCCATCTGTTATTCAAATGCCGAAATACCTACACACACATACGTTTTGTCTCCTTTTCATTAAAGTGCTCAATATTTGTTGAGTTTATATAAAATTTGTACACGATAATATTTCTATTGCTCCAAAGAATCTATATCCTGAAAATTAAAGTTATATCTGGAAATCATAAATTGCAAGGACACTTCAAAGACTCAAAATTTACCCCAACATAAACCAATATTTACGGTTGTGTCTGCGACAGAAACCGGATTGGTTGCTTACAGAAATGAATATGTTGATAGGTTTGGAGTTTTGTCTTTAAAATGCCATACTTTTCTTTAAAATCGCTTCATTCATTTCTCGTGCAATAAGCGTTTTCGTAAAGCTCTAAAAATTACAACTACAACATTTGAGCATAGCCTTCATATCGAAAAGTAAGACGTATTCTACGTCAATAAAAGAATTCGGGACATATTTTTTTTGTATGTAGATAATTTTGTCCACCTAGATTGTTCAAATATCGCACTGTGCATAGTTAAAAGGTTATGGTATAGCAAGCGAGTTGACTGCCGACAAAGGCATACGTACATATGTATAGGAATACATGCGTGTTTATACATACATACATGCCTTATATTAACATACACTGAACTTTATGTAGGTGTAAGAGTTTGTGTTTTAAAATGAGTTGTCAGCAGACGTGTGCGGATTTATGGCAACTCATTTTGAATCTGGGCGCCTTGGATGATATGTGAACTACCAACACATACTCTCTGACTGGTACGCTTGGGTTTGTTTGGCCCATATATGTACATACAAACATATATATCCATATCTACATACATATATATATTTATATATAGGTCCATATGAAAACTTTTGCTTTTTGCCTATGTGTGCGAATGATGAATCTTTATATAGCCAGGAAAGTGTAACGATTTCTTTGTGGCGCTCATGCACTCTGCACCTCGCCGCTTTCTCTCTCTGCCGCCCTTTCGACCCTTTGCAATTTGTGCATAAATTTATTCGTGTGTTATATCCCGGCCAGAGCAGCGTGTTTGGGATGATTTGATTTAAGCAAGTGGAAAATTGAATTTGAAAATTAGGTTACAGCGCAATTTAGTTACGCACCTGGGTGCGGAGAGGCTACAGCGTAAGGCATTTTTTGCTATTATTGTTCGCCCAGTCAAGAGGGGTCAATTGAGTGGGCTGCTAATCAGTTTTGAGTGCATGTGTGTGTGAGAGGGTGTGTATAAAAGGGTGCGTGTGAGGTTAAGTAAGCACAATACCATACACATATCCGAGCATCGATTTGCATTTGTATTAGACTTGTGTCTACATGTGTGGTTCACAGTTGTGTTGTCGTTTGTTTGTTTGCTTGTTGACTCATGCGATAATGAGCATGCAGATGAGAATATGATTATGAAAATGTTTGCACACATATATTTTTGCAGCAGTACTTTTTACTCTATTCGCACTTACTTCAACAAATTTCTAATAATTTTCCTCTCTTCTCATTTCAGGGTCATCCTGGCGTACACGGCCCCAATGGCCAGAAAGGTGAACCAGGCCAACCAGGTGTGCCAGGCATGGCAGGTGCACCTGGTGCTCCCGGCCTTAAAGGTGATCGCGGTCTACCTGGTGAATTGGGACCCATCGGACCACAGGGTCCACCTGGTGAAGTCATATATGCGGATAATTCTCTTAATGGCACAGCGGGCACAGCGGCAGGACAGTGTCAATGTCCAGCGGGACCACCTGGCCCACCAGGAATGCGCGGCCCCCAAGGCTATGAGGGTCCACCCGGTTTGAACGGCGAGCCTGGTCCAGCTGGGTCGAACGGTTTGACCGGCCTGCCTGGCTCCAAAGGGGAGAAGGGCGAAAAAGGTGTGCGGGGCCTGAGCGGCCCAAAAGGCGATCGCGGCCCTGAAGGACCGCCAGGGCAGGCCTTTTTCGCTGGCGGTTACGAAGGCATGGCTATGAATGGCACCAAGGGTGATAAGGGCGAGAAGGGTATGCGCGGACGACGCGGCAAACCGGGCCAAGCTGGACCGATCGGACCGCCGGGCAAACCAGGTCCGATGGGCGATATTGGGCATTCGGTAAGTGGAAATTTATGGTTTAGATTATTTTGTAAAGTATGGAATATTGCATTTTTAAAAAGATAAATTTTTTCTTATAGTTTGAGCGAGTTCATAGCAGTTGAATCTTATTTTTTTCTTGTTGCTAAAATAAAACTTGAGGCTGCTTAAGCTTCTGAGCATCCACTGATCGAAATCGTACTTGTGTGCGGATGTATTTTTTGTTGAATTTAATAAAAAAAAGTATAGCTTAAAGCTAGATTTGCTTAAATGGCTTTAGTTAGGACAAAAATGGGGCGTTTTTTTATTCTTTCACTGGAATGCCGTGGTAAACAACGTCCTAGTGGACCAAGAAAGGAGAGGCTGCAATATTATCACCTACGCTGACGGCGTGACACTCATCGTCAGAGAAGAGTTTCTGGGTAGTCTCTATGATTTTATGCTGGATACTTAGGCTTATTCACTTTATTACGGAATAACGTAGTTAGCCTTGGTAACTAGAAGAAGTTAAGTGCCAGTTACCAAGCTTCCCTCAATCAACAAAATTTCACTTGTGCTCCCTGAATATGCCAAGCACTTGGGCATTATCCTAGGGAGCAAGCTTTACTAGTTGCCATTTATTGAAAAGCCCATCATTTAATTCATGATCCATGCGGAAGATGCATGTCCCATCTTAAAAGGAAATCTATTCACTTCATGAAATGCATATCAGTACGATTATATTTTAGGTGGTCATTGTTTAGAAAACGCTTCTCAGGCAAAGTTGCTGAAGGCCTTCTTGGCCGGTAATCGACCGCGGCTGGTCAGTGCAGCTTTCTTAGCTTGGTAAATGCCATCTCTTGATTCCTGCAAAATTAGTAAACAAGCACGGTCCAAAGGAAGCCATTCGGTACGATCCAGTATCGCTTCGGACCTATATTGCCGTAGGTATTTAGAGTATGACGAAGTGGATTCATCTCAGCATTTTCTTCTCAGTGAAATTGCCTCGATACGAAAGACTCTCATGGACGGACATCATATTTTCCTGACACAACTTTGTATGGTTTACCTGCAGTTAACGGTCCACGAAAATACTATATTAAATACTAACACAATCAATAGTTATAGGAGCCTTGAGTCAGCTGCTCGCGGAACTGCCTTGCATAGCCTAAACGAGCAAATCTCACGAGTAGTTTTTTTTAGTGTCACTTCCTTCTCTTGCAAGAAAAATAAATGCTAAAGCATTATTTTTACATATATTTCAATCAATGGAGTTCCAGAAAAAAGTACAATAAAACATAAATCAAGTATTTGAACAATTTTGACCTTAAAATGTTTATTTAGGCGAAAAAATACCGAAATTACCTTGTTTTGTCACTCGAAAAAATCATAATTGTTTTTTCTTTTTTTAATAACTTTGGGAAGTTTTCAAACAGATTATTAAAATTAAAGGCAATGGACGTTGGCATCAAATACAACATATCTGTGAAGTTTCAAGAGTGTGCCACCAAACTAAAATAAAATGGCGGTATGCGGTATATCTGTCGTAGCTATTTTTTTGCAATGTTATGATTTTGTTTTTAATTATAGTAATTTAGAATACTTGAAAATGCTAAAACTAAACGTTGAAAATGTTCTTCTTTCAAAACTACCGGATGTAGGGTAATAAAACAAGCGTGCCGCCGAACGAAAATAATTGCATTGAGTGAATGATGACTAGTATTAGTTGAGAAACTAAAATTCCATTTTTACAATTTTTATTGGCACACTAGAAATTCATTCATTGTTATATACATGACGAAAGTAATAAATATACGCATAGAGAATACTGTGTAAAAATCTTCCACGCTAATATTACATTTATTTTTTTTAAATAATGTGATTTTTACGTTAAAGCGTGCGAGTAAACCTGTTAAAGGGGTGCGTATGGTGTTACGGGGCGTATACGTTACATACACAACTACGGGTATAAGAGTAAGGGCCGGTTTCTCCATCTCTGGTTAACACTAACTCCCCGGTTAAACATTGTTATGAACGTTCTAACTCCATGCATATAACAGGGAGTCGATAAGGTCGGTAACGATGTTTACCGGGGGATTAGTGTTAACCGGAGATAGAGAAACCGGCCCTAAGAGTGGTCGTTTTTATTTTTTTTCTAGTATAGATTTTTTATATTTTCATTTAAATACAATTTCGCGATAAAATCTAGATATTTACACAAAAATTAAGACAATGCCTTTTTAAGAAAAATGTACCACCATTTTCGACCAAAAACAAGTTGTAGTCGAAAAACGTAACAACTCATTAGAGCCTTCACCATGAGTCTATTTTTCATCTACCCTTTAAACATACAGAGGAACTACTTTCATATTGATCCATAACTTTTCAGAATAACAGCAGATATTTTATGGCATACCCACTTATGTATGCTTTCTTGAACGGCTTTAAATGCTTACTCATTCGCCCTGTTAACGCTGAACAACTTGCTGAAACTTTCCTACTTTATATTTAAGTAAAGTACCCTGAATCCCAAAGAAATGTGGCTGCATTGGCAAAATAGAGTCGCAAGCTGGCGAAATATTCGTATTAAGTAAAACAAGTATACTCCACTTTGAAACAATTGTAACCACCAATGCCGCCAGAGTATTTTTGTGCTACCCATTGCACAATTCCACGCTACTCGATTGCGAAATATTCTTGCAGCCAAGCGGTTATGTGGAAATTTGTTGTTCCATTTTCCTCTGCTCTGCGGCTTTGATTCATTTTGACCTTACCTACTACGTTCGTACTTTCAGCAACAAATTCGTGTATTTCGTTTCTTTTAAGCTTCGCTCCTCTTTGGTTTTGTTGAAAACTTTCCATTGCTGTTGGCTACAAAGTCGTTGGCGCTGCTTTTGAGTGGTTTGGTAAAATTTTGTTTTATTTTATTTTTTTGCAAATATTTTGCATTTATTTTGTAGCAAAACTAGGCCATTTGCGACAGTGTGTATGGCAACTTTCAGAACAATTTGTTTTCTTTGTTGATAATTGAATGTTGTTAGTAACAGAATGAAGGAAAGCAAAGTCTTCCTGAGACATTTTATAGCTAATTTTATACTAAAGTTATAGTTTAAATACTGTTTACGTTTAAGAAGTTGTCAGTCACCTAACAAAGGCAAATTTTTTCGTTTCAGGGTCGACCTGGACTTACAGGACCTAAAGGTGACATGGGCAGCAAAGGACAAAAAGGTGAAAATGGCGGACGAGAAGGGGTGAGTAACATTTTGCAGCAACTAACATGTCTATTTTTCATTACTAGTTCATTCACTAGTTTCAGTAAATATGTATTTTTAGTTGCGATAGAAAGTTTCATACTTTCACTCGGTGATATACTATGTAGCTGTCCCTGCGTGCGCCCTTCGTAAGTGGCAAGTCAGCACATTCCTCTTATTGCGCATCCCAGCGTTAACCTGCTGAACCACTTGCCATTATAAATGAAGTTGTAGAGGTCCTAAAAATCTAACTGCAATAGGCTGTTAAAGAAGTTTGAAGCCAGTCAAGACCTCAAATCTCTTAGCAGAGTTTTTAAATATTTTGGTCTTTTCTTAAATAATGTTTTCTTTCTACGACACTTTCTTTCTAAAAGATAAACTAAAAAATATGAAACAACTGTAAGAGTATATAATAGACCTGCAATAAGCAATATGTTAAGTTATTGTAAACTAAGTATAAGGACTAAACTTCTTTAAAGTACCTTAGCTGATAGAGATCAAGAAAGCAGTCATATATAGTAGGGTTAAGTGGCAGCCGCAAGTGAGTGAATAGTAGTTAACTAGTGAACTCGTATTGCGTCAAAACGCCCAAAATTTTATTACAAAAATGTAAAAAATATCCGAGTGCCATATTTCATCTAAATTCGGGGCAGCCATTTATGAGTAAAGAGAGGTATCACTCAGGTCTTAATATCTCCGAAATTTCACATCACCCAGTACCGATAAACAAGTTCCAACATCAAAAAATAAAATCTTAACCCATATATAAAGCCCAAGATATTTATTCCACCTCTCATACTTGAAATTGGAAATAACGGTGCAAATCTAATGACCTTCACAAAAAATTTTCTCTCGTATAATATATGTATATACCTAGTTAGATCACTATGACTTTTCGAAAAGGTGGCAAGCCTAATAAGAGATATTTATTTATTCATTCGAGATTTAGTTTTAATTTTTCATAAAATTTGCATATGTCAAACTTGTGTATCAAACAGGTGGAAATCCCTTTTCAAACGTATTTTCAAACACGTGGCAGCCCTCCTAAATAAAGGCAGATATAAAGCCTTTTCAAACCCATTACGATTGATATCCATCTCTTGATAATTCATCTAATTTACAAAATAGTTTGAATGTAACTTTTTTAACAGGTGGCAGCGCTCTTACAACATTATAATTGTTCCTACTAAGATTTTTTAACCCTCTATCCTTTGACATGTGTACACCCTCTAAATATAGTTGAGAAATAGAGCCTTTTCAAAGCCACTTCGACTGCTATTAGTATTTTAATAATTTATATAGCTTATTAAATAATTTGAATTTAACTTTTTTAAAAGGTGGCATCCCTCTTTAAACACCTTAAGAATATTGTTAGTATTCAAACTAAGCCTCTTCAAAATATTTACAAACTATCACCTTCTTAAAAACTTTTCCTCTCGCGCCCACTTGGTGATACATATGGGTCAATCCATACAATATTTACACCCCAATATTTTTTTGGGGTGAAATATATTTTTTTACATTCTTTATCAAAAAAGGAAGGTACCTGTTATTTTATTTCGTCATGATATTCGAAAATCTCGAAGAAAATTACCGAAATTTTGAACTCACGGAGAAGTATCTTTTTTCAATTGATTGCAGTTAATAAACTATTTGTCGGCGAAAATCAGTTAAGGTATCAAAATGTGCGTAATTACCTAGGCATTCCATGAGTGTGTGAAACGAATACGTATTGCAATGAACGCCCGAAGAGTATTCGGTCACATTATACATTCCGATTACAAATAGAACGAGTATGCAAAAGGACGCCAACCACAAAGCGGACATGCTTATAGAAAAGTAATCCGGGTTGTAATCCATTCATTCTGTTATATCGACTTCGAAGTGTTGAACGATTATTCGATTACGTAATGTGTATTTGTGCCGCTGGGAAGTCCCTATTTGCTTGTTGTTGATTGTGTTTCGTCTGAGAAGAAATTTTGCAACTGTCCTATCTGGTCTTCTCAGGAAATGGTTACTTGCTTTGAATCTTTTTCAATAGAGCCTTGATGTACCTGACAGTTTCACGCAACATTTGGCTCTGTAACGTACTCTGGTCCGATTAAACGCTCGCCAATTTATCAGCTAGTTTTTTGGACTTTATCATTATAGTGTTCCAGTACCTATGAACATAAGTTCAATGCACATGGTTCAGCCTCAACTTACATTACTTTACAATCTTTGAATATAATGGTGCTACACTACCATAAATACAACAAAAGAGTTGCACTAGAAGGTAGTCCTCTATGAAAGATTTTGCTGATGCTTCTCGATCGAATTGTAAAGCGGAATGTGCCGGACTTGCCTAAAATACATACTATCTATAACCTCAATGTTCAGTAAAGTTCAAGAAAGAATCCCAAACTATACAACTGGATTAACTTAGCTTTCAAAAAGGTAATAGGTTTCTTCAGCTTGGCAACTTAGTAGAGAAACCAAGCATTATTTTACTGCTATTTCATATCTTTTTTAGGAGTATTGCACAACTTCAAATTCGAGCCGCAAGTATTTTTCTCGAACGATGAGGATTTATCTGCTTTAACCTATACCGGATGGAGGCTTAGCTCAGTTCATACTTATCTTTGATTTGAATTCTTGTCCCAAGAGAAAGATAGGTCCTGCTTATGAACCCAATTTCACATAAACTCGTATTTGTAATGTTATAAATATTCTTGCTAATATTTCCATTTACTGTTTTCAATGCGAATAAATACCACCACCGCTAATAAAACTTTAATTTGAATATTTACGTTTATATGTATACCTACATACACCAATCTTTTATCCTTTTATAAGATCAAATTAGCATTTTCTCGAAAAAGAGAAAAGAAAAACCCAAACCAAAACTTCCCGTTACTACAGTGCCAACAACTTCGCTTAGCCTCCTGCCAATGTACATAATCGCCAACTACTTTGTGACTTAATTTAAGCAATTAGGGTTATCACTTAGAGCACAAAAGCTTGCACACAAAATAAAATTCTCACTTATTAAGTATTTCGTAAGCAAAACTTTAGCCGTAAACAAAAATTTTGTTGTATAAACAAACCGCCAAAGGTAAGCAACGGCCATTAGAAGAAGGGAAGAGTTGCAGTGCAAACAAGCCGGCAGCTGACTCAGCGCATAACGAACACATCAACAAAGTGAACGAGCGAAGCGAACTTAATAAATGATTTTAGCGCTAATGTTGACCCCAATGAATGCAGCCAAACCCATTTTACTTGTAATGCATTCCTAAAATGCTATGAATATCTATCTTCCACATCCTGCAACGTGCAAAATGAAACAACCGTCCGCAGTCATCGTTTTAAAAAGCAAGCGCCAGCAGCAAGGCGCCAAGTAACGCTGCTGGCCAATACGGGCGAGTACGTTTATGTTTTGGATGCATTTGTGAGCTAAAGTGATGGAGACTGCCAACTCTCTTGCTGAAAAGCAAGAAATTTTTATAACAAATTTTAAAAATTTCCATTTTTTAGAATTGTTTGGCCAGAATGTATTGAAACAATTAATATCTTGGACTCTGTAAGTCATAGAGTTTTTTAGAAATACATTAATTATAGAAATTTGTCTGCTTCCAATTTCTGGTCACTTATAAAAATTATGCAGCAGCGAACTAGGGCCCAATTCTGTTAGTTCTGCCTTTTCTGTCTGTCTGCTCACTAACATTTTCGCGATTAAGCTGGGGACGGACAGCATAACCAAGCGCAACTATGAAGAATTCATTGACCGGCAAAGCGTTGAGCAGCACTTAAGCCAAAACAAAAACAAAACAAATTTTTGGTTGCAAATAAAACTTGTTGGCACACATACATAATCACAAGTACAGCTGTGTGTGTATACATGCATATATACATATAAACCTAAAAAATTTATTTTGAGGTAGAATTCGGCAAATTCCAGTCTTCATAAAACAGTGAAAGTTTACGCGAAGCATCAGTTATATATGTACGGCTGGCAGGTGTATTTTTAGCGTGGGAATTCTTTCAAAAGTTTGGTTGAATACCATCTGGGCTGTGTTTGTTTCAATTCAATTTAATTTATAACTTGTATTATATAATTTCGATGATTACATATACATACATATGTATAATTTTTTCATCTAAAAAATTTGTATGGTTACACGTAGCTTATGACTTATATCAAAAAAGCGCTTTGAAGAATTCTTCAACTGTAAAATATTGTTAATTACTGTAATTATGATCTCAGATACGAATTGACCTAACAGTCCAGGCCACGGAGGTTTTTTGGTGGAAAAAAAATTTATTGATCCGAATTGGTACGACTATCAACTGATTTTTACCCTGGGATTCAGTAGTTCAGTCTCATCTCAAGTCACTCAATTGGAGATTAGCAATTAGTGACTATTTTTGTGACTTGAGATGATTTGGCTATACAGTAAGAGAGAGTCACAAAAAGTTCACCAAAAACACACACAGACAGTCAACTGATAGCGTTTACGTATGCCGTTTGCCGCGCCGCCCGAAGAGTCCCAATGGCCGAGTGGTCAAAGCATTACGCTTCCGGTCGAGAGGGTCCGGGTTCAAGTCCTCCTCGGGCGTAGAGGATTTTTTATTTTTTTTTAGTACTTTTTTAATAGTTTTATTTTTTTAACAATCTTTAGATTTTAATGTTTTAAAAACAAAGAAATATTTTTTTTTTTCAATACATTTGTATGATATTAGAGCATTTTGGTTTATTTCCTAATAAAATTCTTGTTGAACAAGATTCCTCGCTTCTTTTTCGCGTTTTTTTTAATAAAGTGGAAAGAAATAAGCTTTTCCTCCATACTTCTATTTTTGTGACCTGCTCCAAGCCAGCTGACAAATTAGTGACTTATTTTTGAGACTAGAGACGTGAGACAGCGTACTGAATACCAAATAGTCTCAAAATCCAAGTTCACCACCAAAAGTCACTATTAGTGACTTGAGACCGCTTACTGAATGCCAGGGTTAGTCTTCGTCGC